CTTTTTATTGATGCATGTGTTTATGTTACACCAAATATGCTGTCTTGATTATTATAGCTTTATAAAAGTCTTTAAATCGGGTAGTGTAAGTCCTCCAGCTTTATTATTTTTACAAATTGTCTATTCTAGGTCTTTTGCATTTCTATGTATCTGTATTTTAGAATCAGCTTGTCAATTCCTACAAAAAAGCCTTCTGGGGTTTGGATTGGCATTGTGTTTGATCATGAGATCACTTTGCGGAGAATTAACGTCTTAACAATACCGATTCTTCTGATCGTTGAACAGAGTATATAGCTCTCCATTTTTCTCTGTTAGGTCTTTACTTTTTTTCCAGCATTAAAAAAAGCTTTCAGGCCGAGTGTGGTGGCTCATGCCTATAATCCCAGCATTTTGGGAGGCTGAGGTGGAGGAATCACCTGAGGTCAGCAGTTCAAGACCAGTCTTGGCCAACATGGAGGAATCCTGTCTTTACTAAAAATATAAAAATGAGCTGGGTGTGATGGCACATGCCTGTAATGCCAGCTACTGGGAGGCTGAGGCAGGAGAGTTGCTTGAACCCTGGTGATGGAGGTTGCAGTGAGCTGAGATCACCTCACTGTACTCCAGCCTGGACAACAACTCTATCAGAAAAAAAAAAAAAAAATGTTTTCAGTATGCAGCCTTTGCACATATTTTGTTAAAGTGAAAGCTTAAGTGAATATGAGTAATTTATAGTTTTCTTTTTCAGTAATGCATTCCACAAGTTCCAGTATATTGTATTTGCATTTTCAATTAGTTCAGTATACTTCCTCATTTCTCTTGAAATTAGACTTATGGGTTTTTTAGAAAGGTATTTTAGTTGCTTATTATTGGTGATTTTCTAGAAATTTTTCTGTTATTGATTTCTACTTTAATTCCATTGTAGTAAAATAACATATTTTGTATGATTTGAATGCTTTTGAGTGAGATTTGTTTCACAACCCAGAATATGGCTTATTTTCGTAAATGTTCTCTGTGTACTTGAGAAGAATAGATTGCTCTGTAAATGTTAATCAGGGGCTGGGCATGGTGGCTCATGCCTGTAATCCTAGCACTTTGGTAGGCTGAGGTAGGCAGATCACCTCAGGTCAGGAGTTCAAGACCACCATGGCCAACATGGTGAAACCCCATCTCTACTAAAAATACAGGATTAGCCAAGTGTAGTGGTGCACACCTGTAATCCCAGCTACTTGGAAGACTGAGGCAGAAGAATTGCTTGAACCTGGGAGGTAGAGATTACAGTGAGCCAAGATCTGCCATTGCACTCTAGCCTGGGCGACAAGAGTGAAACTCCTACTGAAAAAAACAAAAAAAAATATTAATAAGGTCAAGTTGGTTGATAGAGTTGTTCAGGTCTACTGTATTCTTGCTGATTTTCTGTCTACTCTTTCTATCAATTACTGAGGAGGGGTATTGAAATCTCCCAATCTAATTGGTGTTTGTCTAATTTTCAGTTTTCAGGTTTTTAAGTTCTATCAGTTCTTGAATTTTGTAGTTCTGTTATTAGATGATAAATGTTTAGGATTGTGTATTTTGATTAATTAACTCATTTATTGTTATGAAATGACCTTCTTTGTCCTTAAAATTATTCTCTAATTTGAGATCTACTTTGTGTAATATCAGTGTAGCCACTTTAGCTTTCTTTTATCAGGTGATAGCATGGGTGTGTGTGTGTGTGTGTGTGTGTGTGTGTGTATATATGGTAAAATAAATATGTGTGTGTGTATATATGTATTACCTTAAAATAAACGTGTGTGTGTATTATATATATGTATTACCTTAAAATAGATATGTGTGTGTGTATATGTGTGTGTGTGTATATATATATACATACGTGTATATATAATGCCTGTAATTCCAGCTACTTGGGAGGCTGAGGCAGGAGAGTTGCTTGAACCCGGGAGGTGGACGTTGCAATGAGCTGAGATCATGCCACTGCACTCCAGCCTGGACAACAGAGCGAGACTCTGTCTCCAAAAAAAAAAAAAAAAAGGTTTTCACTATACGGCCTTTGCACATATTTTGTTAAAGTGAAAGCTTAAATGAATATAAGTAATTTATAATTTTCTTTTTCAGTAATACATTCCATATATACACACACACATTTATTTTACCTTTTACTTTTAATCTATTTGTGTCTTTATATTTAAAGTTTATTTTAGATAATGTATAGGTGGCTCTTGATTTTTTTAATGTAATGTGATAATCTCTGCCTTTTATTTGGGGTGTTTAGACCATTTACATCTAATGTGATTGTTGATATAGTTAAGTTTGATTCTGTCATCTTGTTATTTGTTTTCGATTGTCCAGTTGATGTTTTCCTGTTTCTCCTTTTATTCCACTCTCTTCTGGATTGGTAGAGTATTTTTTTAATGATTTTTTAAAAATCTCCATTGGATTATTAGTGACAACTCTTTATTATTTTGCTAGTTGCTTTAGGGTTTATAGTGTAAATCTTTAACCTGTTGCAGACTACTTTCCAATTTATATTTTACCACTTCATTTCCAGTAAAGGAAGCTTAAAGTATGCTATTTTTTCTCTCCTGGTCTGTATGCTATTGTTATTATCATGTATTTTACTTTTACATATGTTGTAAACCCCAAAACATTATTGTTATTTTTGTTTAAACAGCCAAGTAAAAGAGTTTTAAATTATAAAAAAATAATAATTTTATGTATTTACCCATGTGTAGTAATTTTTCTTTCTTTTTTTTTTGAGATGGAGTCTTGCTTTGTTGCCCAGGGTAGAGTGCAGTGGCGCAGTCTCAGCCCACTGCAACCCGTGCCTCCTGGGTTCAAGCAATTTTCCTGCCTCAGCCTCCCGAGTAGCTGGGACTACAGGTGTGCACTGTCACACATGGCTAATTTTTTGTATTTTTAGTAGAGATGGGGTTTCAGCGTGTTAGCCAGGATGGTCTTAATCTCCTGACCCCATTATCGCTTGCGTCGGCCTCCCAAACTGGTGGGATTACAGGAGTGAGCCACCACGCCCAGCCCTGAAGGACTTTAAAACATTTCTTGGCTGGGCATGGTGCCTCATGCCTGTAATCCTAGCATTTTGGGAGGCTGAGGTGGTGGATTACCTGAGCTCAGGAGTTCAAGACCAGACTGGGCAACATGGTGAAACCCTGTTTCTACTAAAATACAAAAAATTAGCTGGCAAGACGGCATGTGCTTGTAGTCCCAGCTACTTAGGAGGCTGAGACAGAAGAATTGCTTGAACCCAGGAGGTGGAGGTTGCAGTGAGCCAAGATTTCTTGCAGTGCAGGTCTGCTGTTGATGAGTTCTTTCAGCTTTTGTATGCCTGAAGATGTCTTTATTTCACTTTCATTTTTAAAAGATATTTTTGTAGTGGGGAGCATTCTTGGTTGGCAGTTTTTATCATTTGGTACTTTAATAATGTTGTTCTACCATTTTCTCACTTCTATTTTTTCCAGTGAGAAATATGATACCCTCTTTATTCTTGTTTTCTGTATGTAACATGTCTTTTTCTCCCTGGTTGCTTTATAGATTTTCTTTTTATACTGGTTTTATCAGTTTGATTATGATATGCCTTGATGTAATTTTCTTCCTGTTTCTTGTGTTTGAGGTTTGCTGAGTTTCTCAGATCTTTGAGTTTATAGTTTTTATCAAGTTTGTAAATTTTTAACTTTTATGTCTTTTCAGATATTTTTTTTCTGTCTCACTCCTACCACTCTTCTTCAGAGATCCTAATTACCCATATATTAGAATGCTTAAAGTTTTTGCACAGTTTATGGGTGCTACTTTTTTTTTTTTTAATTCTTTTTTCTCTTTATGTTTTGTTTTGGGTAGTTTCTATTCCTGTGCCTTCAAATTTGCCAAGTTTTTCTGTAGTGTCTATTCTGCTGGTAATTCCATTCATAGTATTTTTCATCTCAGACACTATAGTTTTCATTTCTTGAAGTTTAATTGTAAGGCAATTCTGGCATGATAATTCATTTTACAATGTTGCAGTAGCATTCCTAAAAGAATGTTTTTGAACAAGAACTAAATCAAGAATTCCTATCTCCTATCCTATTTTCTTTCTTCCTTCCTTCCTTCCTTCCTTCCTTCCTTCCTTCCTTCCTTCTTTCTTTCTTTTCTTTCTTTCTTTCTTTCTTTTTCTTTCTTCCTTTCTTCCTTTCTTTCCTTTCTTTCCTTTCTTTCTTTTCCCTGAGGATATACCAAGTAATGACACTATAGTTTTCATATCTTGAAGTTTAATGGTAAGGTAATTCTGGCGTGATAATTCATTTTATAAAGTTCCAGTGGCATTCCTAAAAGAATGTTTTTGAACAAGAACCTAAATCAAAGATTCCTTCAAGGAACTTAAACTATCTGGTAGTTAATTCTTTTGTAGATTAAAAGCCTTTCCTATGTATGAATTGTCTATTATAACTGTGCTTTTTATAAACCTTAATTTTGCTTACTCTACTATTTATCACCCACTTAAATTTGATATCTATTACTTTTAAACAGTCTAACTACATTTCTTTCTGAATATCTTTATTATTTTTAGATTCCTTTACTAAATTGGATTGAGACATTATTTAAATTTTCACTTAATTGCATTTATAAGTGACCAAAGCATTGAGCCTTTATAAATAGGCAATAATGCCAAGGCCTTTAATACATCTAGTTTAAGCAAATGAGGCTGTGATTTAATACATCTAGTTTAAGCAAATGAGACTGGGTAGTTTCCTTTGGGATTATTTGATGCTTTAAGGTTATTCCCTTATTGGGCTTTGTCTTGTCAATGAAGTTTGCTTCATTTGTAAGTTTTCTTTCTTGTAGAGAAACTATAACTCTGAAAATGTAAGAACAAAACCCAATTAGTCATACACTGATAATAATGGGTGAAAAATGTTTAAAGTATTCTGCTTCTTTCTGTAATATTGGATAATCATTGGAAATGTCATATCCACTGGAGAAAACTTAAAAGGATTAAAACTTTTTTTTTTTTTTTTTTTTTTTTNTAATTCTGGACCTGAAATTAATAAGATTCGAACACCAGAGAAAAAGCCAACAGAACCAAAACAGGTATGCTGGTTACATTTAGTGAATGCATTGTCCTAGTGGATTTAGTCTGATTGCTCATCTTAAGAATCTTGATGTTTTAAGAAAAAATACCTCCCGTTTTACACTTATCCTTTATGTTTATTATTTCACAGGGATATGGTGGGCCATATTGCTTGTTCTTTCTTTGTCTTTTCTTTGGCTATGCTGTTTCATGTATCAGTATACTTTTCTCAAATTCTGTTATTCAGTGGTAAAGTTGAATTTAGAGGTTTTCTGTGATAAAGTAGTTTATGAAGACAGAGCCACAGGTGTGTCATTAGAAGAGCTGTTACAGTGAAGAAGGAAAACTTCCTCAGGTCCCTCACCTTGTTCTCTCATCACACCCACTAAGTCCTTAACTCTTTATCTGCCCATTCGTCTACTCTCTCCGCTTCTGTGCTTATAAACCACTTAGAGAAAATCAAGTCACTGGTTGAATTAGTGCCACTGGAAGTTCTTGTTTCTAATCTGAATGGAACCCTCGGGGTAATACATATATACACACACACACACGTATTTATTTTAAGTTGGGATTTCCCAGAGTTCTGTCCTTGTCCCACTTGTCTTTGCATTCTGTGGTTTCTTACTATAAACCAGTCCAATCCATGATTTTAAGTATCTGCTTCATGATATCGACTTCCAAATCTGTATCTCTCTCTAACTTCAGCCTAGCTTTAAGCAGCTATTCTCTATATTCAGTTCCTTAATCACATAAGCATCTCTTACTCACAGCTTCTGTATCTGGCAGGATTCATTACCCACGGGAGGGGCTGCTGTACAAATGAGACAGCCAAGGGAACCGCCTGATGGATAAGCGGGGGCTGTAGTGAGAGTGGAAGTGATATGTTTTTGGGAAATGGTGCAGAGAGAGAACCAGTGACATGTCAGGATGGTGCACCTGCATGAGTGGCACATCTAGTCAGAGGAGCTCAGGACGAAACCAATCACATGAGTCTTAGATGCTGTCAGAGCAACTTAGCCAAGATAGCTAAGTGTCTTTCATGTCCTTGTTTTAAAATTTCTGTTAGGATTCTTCTCTGTTGGAGAACTAGGCAACCTGAAGACATGTTTCGTTTTCTCTCCCACCCTGGTGCTTTGTTTTGGAGCCCAGGAAAAATAAAAAAAAGAAGTAGTCCTGGCTCTTTTGACTCAGCGCCTCAGTATTAAGAGGAAAATGATAGAGGAGAATCTTAATTCTGATAGTAGCAGATGCAGGCTTATTCAGCCCTTACAGTCCTCTGTCTTGCTTAGGGAGCCGATTGTAGTATCATAGAGCAGCACAGTCCTGATCTGAATTCTGTGACACAGACCCAGCTTCCTATGTCAAAGTCAGAAGTGATAGAGACAATTAAGATAGCAACTTATTTACAAAAAACTTTGACATCTAATCATGACCTCCCTCATGTGACCAAAGTATGCATATCAACAGTATCTTCTGGAAAAAAGTATATCCCAGGTGAATACAATTTTAGTATTTGAAAAGTGGAGATTTATGGAGGAAAATATTCGTTTATGAAGAACCTTAGGTTCTGAGACATCTGAAGAGCAGGCATTGCATACTTGGGAACTGAGATAGAATTGTCATGCTTCTCACTTCTTTGTCTAGATGATTTACATATACTCAGCAATCTTAAGGGCCTAAAATTGGCCAAATTTAATGGGAGTCCATTTGAGCTAGGTGATTAGAGGTGAGGATGCGCTTAGCGCACAATCTGCATCACGACCATTTGTTGCAACAGTTTGGTCACTAAGTGTACCCCAACTGCAGTTCAGGAGCAAGCTACTTGTTTTGTTTTTGGGAGTGGTAAGTTCTGTGTCTAATTTGAGAGGCTTGGGTTAGGCAAGTGCTCTGCAATCCTCGGTCACTAGCTCATCAGTGAAACTTGTAAGGAGACTGATTGGCCAAATTTATTTACACCCGAAGCAGTTCATGGAATGTTTTGACAGAGCTGAAAGAGAAAAGTTGCCTCTTTCCATCTTGTATTTTACTTTTCACATTGTCATCACTTATGATCAAACTTACATTTCAGAAGGATGACAACACTCCCCAGCTTGAAAACCTTTTGTAGTTACCACAGTTTATGGAATTAAAAACAATTATTCAATAGTATTGAATAAGTCAGGGTCTCGTGTGATTGGGCTCTTATAGTTTTCTCTGATGTCGAGAAGGGAAAACTAATATATACACAAGTGAAGTTATAGCTCTGTGTACACAGAACTTCCCATGCTCTCCAAATCTGCCAGACTTTTCCTTTCTTCAACCTTTGCGTAAACTGTTACCTTTACCTAGAATGTCCTTCCCTCCTCAGAATATTCCAGCTCTTTTTGTAAGATTATACTCAAATGTCATAGCCTCTGTGAAACCTTTAATTTTCTCAGGCACTACAGTTGCATCCTCTTACAGTACCTCTAGTGAGATGTTTACATATTGTTACCTTCTACTGGACTCTAGGCCAGGGGTCAGCAACCTTCTTCTGTAAAAAGCTGGATAGTGAATCTTAGCCTTGGGGACCACATGGTCTCTATTGCAGCTGCTCTGCTCTGTCAGTTCACAAGCAGCTACAGACAATTTGTAAACACATGAGTGTGGCTGTGTTCCAAGAAAAGCTTATTTACAAAATCCTGGTGAACTGGAAATAGCATTGGGGTGGGGATATGGTATACAGACCCCTGCACGAGGCTCTCGATGGGTAGGCTGAGTCTTATTATTGCCTGTTTAATTTTCAACACCAGGCACAGTGTACTTGGTTGGCCACAATAAATGTTTGTTAAAGCAAGAATGTCAATGTGTAATGAAAAAATTGACAACCAAACTAGTTATATACGAAGGTGATATAGCACTTTTTCATTTCAAAGTTGTTTAAATTGAGATACATCTTTTTATTAACATATAGATCTTTTTGAGGAAATAGATTAGATGTATAAAAACAATAAAATCAGGTTGGGCGCAGTGGCTCATGCGTGTAATCCCAGCACTTTGGGAGGCCAAGGCACGGCCAAGGTGGGGGGATCACCTGAACTCAGGAGTTCGAGACCAGCCTGGCCAACATGGCAAAACCCCATCTCTACAAAAAATACAAAAAGTAGCTGGGTGTAGTGGTGGGCACCTTTAATTCCAGCCACTTGTGAGGCTGAGGCAGGAGGATTGCTTCAGTCTAGGAGGCAGAGATTGCAGTGAGCCAAGATGGTGCCACTGTACTCCAGCCTGGGAGACAGAGCAAGACTCTGTCTCAAAACAAAACAAAAACATAAAATCAGAAGGAAAACACATTTTAATGATTTATATCAGAAGGAAATAAATGGCCATCTAAGGAAGAAAGTGTGAAGTTAAAAATAATGCTTTGAAAGGAATTAAAATAGATATTCTAGTAAAATGGCAGTATCTTTTCTTATGACTCACATTTAATATGCTGTTTTTTCCTGTCATCTTTTAAAATCTAAAACATTTTTCCTTTATTTGATTGTGAGAAAGTATATGATTGAGCACTCAGCTCTCCTGCTGGAAGATTATTAGTGTATCATATCCTTTAGATGTGGCAGGGTTGGGAAAAGGTGGAGAGCTACCGAACTCAAATTTTCTGCAGTTTAAAAAAGCTTCTTCTTTTTTTCTAGGTTGATTTGGAATCAAATCCACAGAACAGAAGTCCTGAATCACGTCCTAGTGTTGTTTATCCCAGTACCAAATTTCCTCGCAAAGATAATCTCAACCCAAGACACATAAATCTTCCTCTTCCTGCCCCCCACGCACAATATGCAATCCCTAATCGCCATTTTCATCCCCTTCCCCAGCTACCAAGACCACCCTTTCCAATTCCACAGCAGCACACCTTGTTAAATCAGCAGCAGAATAATTTGCCTGAACAACCAAATCAAATACCACCTCAGCCAAATCAGGTAGTCCAGCAGCAAAGTCAGTTGAATCAGCAGCCTCAGCAGCCGCCGCCTCAGCTTTCTCCTGCATATCAGGCGGGACCCAACAATGCTTTTTTTAATAATGCAGTTGCTCATCGGCCACAGTCTCCTCCAGGAGAGGCTGTGATTCCAGAGCAGCAGCCCCCTCCCATGCTGCAAGAAAGCCACAGTCCTCTGAGAGCCATTGCACAGCCCGGCCCCATTCTTCCTTCGAATCTGAATAGCTTCATTGATGAGAACCCCCCAGGATTACCTTTGGGGGAGGCTTTAGGTAAGTTCTCCAATTATCGTCAGATGTGAAAATTCAGAGCTTACTTACTTAAAATGACATGGACTGTACAGTATCAGTTTGGGTTAGGATTGAATCATTTCTTCAGATAATGCTGGCAAAAACCCCCCATTTTGTGTGATAATCAGAATCTAGTTCTAAATGCTATATGACAGTAAGTATCCAGCGGATGTCAGGATCATCATTATGTAAGTGAGGAAGAGTTGTCATCAATCATCACCATAATTCTGATTTCTGGCAAATTTGGAAAACATTTATTATCTATCAAAACCTAATTGTAGCTATTTCTTTGTCTTTGTGGAGAAAGTATGTTTGTAAAACTTAAAAAAAAAATAACTTGAAACCCCAAATTCATAAAAAAAAATTTCACAAATATTTTTGCAGATCGTATACATGGGAGTGTGGCTCTGGAAACATTAAGGCAGCAGCAGGCACGGTTACAGCAGTGGAGCGAGCACCACGCCTTCCTCAGTCAGGGCAGTGTTCCATACCCGCACCACCACCATCCCCACCTCCAGCATCTTCCTCAGCCCCCCCTGGGATTACATCAGCCACCAGTGAGGGCAGACTGGAAGCTCACCAGCAGTGCCGAAGATGAAGTGGAAACCACATACTCAAGGTATTCCAGCCAACTAAAAATAGCTTCTGGAATGTGACCCCCTTACTGTTTTCTTTTTTGAACGTAGTCCTTTTAGCTTCAAGCTAGAATACTGCCTCAGAGAAATTGGATGCTGGCCTTCCAAGCATATGCTACAAAGTTCTCTTGATTGACTGTAAAATACAGAAAACTCATTTAGAAGTAACTCTGGTACAAATGTAGGCATGGATGATCTACTGTGGGTTGTAAATTAGCTTGTTCCCTTGCTTTGTGCTTTCTTCTGCAAGAGAAACATACTGTCACCGTGAGCTGGTTTTTTTATTTGGTAGTAATGCTTGCAAAGAATGAATAAAGACAGGAATAAATTCATGGTTAAAAGCTAAAAATTATTAATTATTTTTCTGGTGGCACAGAATTCTACCTTCCCATAATTCCAGTTACATCTTAGTGTTCGGTCCTAACTCTAAGCTTGTTTTTACGGCCAGTGTCACGTGAATGCTATGAAGAGTTTCCAGATCCCTTCTGAATAACCATCATTGTGACCTTTTATAACTTCTAGTTGTCAAAGACATGTAGAGACAAGGACAGGTGTTTTTAATGCAGTGGAACCAGAAAGAAATTAGGTAATTGAGCATATTCAATGCCTTCACCTCAGCATCTGTTGAGTGTTAGTGCTTACCTCTGAGATGAATTAATGCCAGTTCTAGTTGTTAGTGTACTATGATGTTTGTTGAAAATACACATGTAGTTGACTAAGCTTTCCTTAGTGTGATGGAGCCTTTTGTTTTCTCCTCATGTTTTATTGTTTTCATGTAGGTTTCAAGACTTAATCAGAGAACTGTCTCATCGTGATCAAAGTGAAACACGGGAACTAGCTGAAATGCCACCACCTCAATCAAGACTTTTGCAATATAGACAAGTACAGACTAGAAGCCCACCAGCAGTCCCGTCTCCCCCATCCAGTACAGACCACAGTAGCCACTTTTCTAACTTGAATGATAACAGCAGAGACATTGAAGTAGCCAGCAACCCAGCATTTCCACAGCGCCTCCCTCCCCAGATATTTGGCTCGCCTTTCTCGTTGCCATCTGAACACCTTGCCCCTCCTCCCTTGAAATACCTGGCACCTGATGGAGCGTGGACTTTTGCTAACTTGCAACAGAATCACCTAATGGGGCCAGGTTTTCCCTATGGCCTACCTCCATTGCCTCACAGGCCACCGCAGAACCCTTTTGTACAAATACAGAATCATCAACATGCTATTGGTCAAGAGCCATTTCACCCATTGTCATCTCGAACAGTATCTTCTTCTTCGCTCCCTAGCTTGGAAGAGGTAAATGTCTTCTTACTTTCCTTTTGGGATTAGTTGATTGTGGAAGATATCAGTGTTTATTGATTTGATAATAGGAATGCGCAGATCTTATTGAATTTAATAGTGTATTAAAGATCATCCTGTCTTGGGAATTATTTTAATTGCCACCCTCCTATTGTTATTTCAGAGTTTGTAAAATGGGCACTATTGTTGAAACATGAAGCTCCTTAGAAGTCTTTTATTGCTGTTTAAAGAATATTGAACATCTAAGGACTCTATTTATTCAAGCAGCTTTGTCTTTTTTAATCTGAGGAAGTGGCTTTTAGTGATTCATGTTTTTACTTTAAGTTACATGTGTTAATTATAAATTTGTTAATTAGAGCTTTCCAAAGATGCTGGCTTTTCAGCCAGCATCAGTTGCAAGTGCTGTGCTCCTTCTCCTGTAGCTCAGCCTGGTACTTTGTTAGAGACACAGTAGGACTCTGATTCCCAAATAGCAGAATTTGCAGATTTTTAACATAAAAGTGATTCTGCTAAAGTAAGCATTTCAAGGTAAACTGAATTTTATCTTAAAACACTTAGATATTTCTAAAGAGCATCTTTATGGACTTTTATTGATATGAAAAACTTAGTAATTCCAGGTTATAAAACTCCCAAAGCAGTACCATGTGGTGTAGTCTATAAAAATGTCTAGCTGATCCCATTAAATTTGCAGTGATTAAAGATAAGCATCTGTAAAGCTGGTTGTAGACATATCAGTCAGAGACATCTTAAATCAGGATGAACATTTCTAATTTTGATATATGAAAAATACTTTTTTGATATTAGCTTCATTTTGGCAGTTTCAGAATGATTTCTAAAGGCCATTAGAAATAATTGATTCACATTTTACAAGTTGTCTGTAATACATGCTAATTAAAAGTCAAGTTTCGTAGGGAAAGCTGTATATCTTATGTGTAGGGTTTTAGAGGCAGTCTGTTCAAATTGTCTCAGTATTCATTGATTGGCCCATTCTGTATAGCTGCCATTAAAACAACTTAATGCAATTTTAGCTTCTTTAAGTTAGAAGCATAATAAAGATGAGTTGGTATCTGCATATATGTATTGTGAGGATCTAGAATTTTGGAACCATACTTTACAAAAATTTGACACACATCCGACAGTCTTTCAGATTATAATGAACAGTAGTTTTACAACTGAGTAGTAGTATAATTTTCAGTTAAGTGATGTTTTATCTATTTATAATAAAATTCATATAATATAAAATTGACCATTTTAGCCATTTTAAATGGTTTTCTCAGTACCATTTTTGGAAGTATACAGTTTGGTAGCTTTTAGTATATTCACAATGTTTTACAGTCATCATTGCTGTCTAATTCCAGAACATTTCATCACTCATAAAAGAAACCCCATAACTGTTAAGCAGTTACACCCCAATTTCCCCACTGTCAGTGCCTAGCAACCACTAATCTACTTCCTGTGTCCTTGGAGACATTTCATAAAAATTGAATGATATATTATGTGGCCTTTTATATCTGGCTTTTGAAATGCAGCCACACTGTAACCTAGGAGTAGAGTTCTTAGGTGATGTAGTAACTCTATGTTTAACTTTTTGAGGAACTGCAAACTGTTCTCTGCACCATTTTATATTCCCACAGCAAAGTATGAAGATTCCAATTTCTCTATATATTCGCTTTTTAAAAAAAACTATAACCATCCTGATGGGTGTGTAGTAGGATCTCATTGTAGTGTTTTTTTTGTTTGTTTATTTGTTTTTTGAGACGGAGTCTCTCTCTGTTGCCCAGGCTGGAATGCAGTGGCATGATCCTGGCTCACTGCAACCTCCGCCTTCTAGGTTCAAGCAATTCTCTTGCCTCAGCCTCCCAAGTATCTGGGACTACAGGCGCCCACCACCAGACCTGGCTAATTTTTGTATTTTTAGTAGAGATATGGTTTCACTATATTGGCCAGGCTGGTCTCGGACTCCTGACATCATGATCTGCCTGCCTCAGCCTCCCAAAGTGCTGGGGATTACAGGCATGAACCACCGAGCGCCCGGCCCTCACTGTAGTTGTGATTTACATTTCCCTAATTACTGATGATGTTGACATCTTTTCATGTGCTTCTTTGTCATTTGTATCTTTTTTGGATAAATGTCTATTCATATGTTTCAGCTATTTAAAAAAATGGTTTGTTTGTTACTTAGTTATGAGTTTTTAAATATATTCTGGTTCAGACTCCTAATCTCATATACGATTTGCAATTATTTCTGTCACTCTGTGGGTTGTCTTTTCACTTTCTTGATAGTGTCCTTTGAAGCTAAAGTACAAATTATCTGTTTTTTCTTTGTCTGCTTATGCTTTTGGTGTCATACCTAAGAAACCATGGCCTAATCCAAGATCGCAAAGATTTACTTTTACATTTCCTTCTAAGAGTTTTATAGGTTTGCCTTTTACACTTGGTTCTTAGTTCATTGGTCCATTTTGTGTTAATTTTTATATGTTGTGTGAGGTGGGTATCAAATTCATTCTTTTGCGTGTGGCCATACAGTTTTCTCAGCACCATTTTTGGAAAGACTCTTCTTTCTCCCACTGAATAATCTTGGCAACATTGTCAAAAATTTGTTGACTGTAGATGCTGGGCTTATTTCTGGATTCTCCATTGTATTCCATTTATCTGTGTGTGTGTCTGTCTTTATGCCAGTGCCACACTGTATGGTACACTAGTATTGTAGTAAGTTTTGTAACTGGAAGTATGAGTCCTTATATTTTGTTCTTTGGGAAGATTGTTTTGGCTGTTCTGGGTTCCTTTAATTTTTTTATGTGAGGATTAGGATCAGCTTGCCAATTTCTGCAAAAAAGCCCAGCTGATATTTTTTAAAAAAAATTGCTTTAAATCTGTGGATGAATTTGGGGAGTATTGCCACTCTAACAATATTAAGTCTTCACATACCTGAACATGGGACATCTTTCTGTTTATTCAGGTCTCTTAAAATTTCTTTCAACAGTATTTTGTAATTTTCTAAGTATAAGTCTTGCACTTCTTTTGTTCAGTTTATTCCTAAGCATTTTATTATTTTTCATGCTGTCATAAATGGAATTGTTTCCTTAAGTTCATTTTTAGATTGTTCATTGTTAGTGTTTAAAACATGATGGTATATTGATTGTGTATCTACAGTCTTGCCGAACTCTATTAATGCTAGTAGATTTTTTTGTAGATATCTTAGGCTTTTTTATAAAGAAGATGATTCATCTACAAATAAAGGTAGTTTCATTCTTCCTTTCTAGTTTTATTCTTCCTTTCCAATCTGGATGCCTTTTATTTCTTTTTCTTGCTTAATTCTTGATTGTTTTTCTGGTTGCTGCAAGCTTTTACTTAGGTTTCTAGGTTCCTAAAAGGCCGATTATGACAGCTTTTGCCATTTTTTTTTCTGTTTTTATGGAGGGCTGGACTTTGGAGTTTCTTATTCTGCCATTTTTGCTGATACCGCTTTTGATTTTATTTAACCTGACAAATGAGTTCATAATATGAGGGGGAACTGTGGGTGCCAAAGTTTTTATAGGTTTTATGAAGTTTTGTACTTTACTAAATAATGGCTCATATTGAATAATCTACTTTAGTCATTGATCTTTTTAAATTGGCCTTAATTTTGGAATTAAGGTTTTTGAACCTTGGTGCTCTTAATGTCTGTCTAAATTAGTATCTGTCTAAATATCTAACAGATATTTCTGTTAAGAGCTGTGTGTGTGTGAATAAGTACCTTTCATTGTCAGTGGGTTCTTAAAGTTACTTTTGCAAAAGCATTTGGTCAGTTTTATTTTGATGCATGCGATTCACAAATGAGTGATTCACTTACAACACTGAAATATTTATTTGACAAAGATAATATTTTTAGCACATTGCAGATTTTCACATGTTCAGTGTATTAGGGTAACTTTATTCTGTTCAAAATGCTTTTGCATGAATCATCTCACAGACTGAATGATTGATGTGCTTGCTGTTTATTTCCAACCTTTTAAAATAATTAATGTTAACAACAGAGAAAAATGTCTTTTCCCCTCCTACTATGGATTCTTTTATTGCCAGAAAACTTAATAGATTAGTCTTGTGGGTTGATAGCTGGATGTTAGTGTAACAGTTCACTTAAATGGAGATGGTTGGTTACATTATGTTTTACTTGTTTTTTCTTTTTATAGTAATTTTGATTTTCTTGTGACAGTGAAATACATAGCCAGCACAGAAAATGTAGAAGTTAGAGAAATTATTTATAATTTCACTATACAAAGATAGCTACTATACCATTTAGTTACCTACCTGTATCACCACTGAATGGGATCTTGGTCCCATTCTGTAACATTTTTTGCTACTTTAAATTTTTAGACTATTCTCATGTAGATAATTAAGGCTTAACTCCATGGGTTTCCCTCCCCCACCTCAAATGCAGCAAAAGCCATGGCCCTTGGCTACTTGGCTAAGGCTGGGTGCTGTGGTCTGGCAGGACTGCCTGCATCCTTTCACACTTTGGTTCTTTACAGATGTGATGGGATGAGGAGGATAACAAAGGGCAAAATGCCATCCTTTCCTGAGCCAGGCAGTATACCATCCCTGATTGGCACTAGATTGAAAATTGCTCCAATTTGATTTTAAATGCCAGCGTTAAGCTTGGGATTAGGGATTACGTTTTCCCCAGACATTTAGCCAGTTGTCTTCCTGTCTTTTTGAAATTATTACATTCTCACTAAGCAGATGTCATTTTCTTATCAAATCTAAATTATTTGCAGTAGCACTGTATCATACTTGCTCTGCGTGGTGGGGGTAGTGAAAAATGAAATGCACAACAGAAGCTATTTCTTGACCTGTGAGCTTCCAAAGTTTCGGTTTCTAGTAATTTTGGCATGATTAAGGATTTTTCAGAGGCAGGTTTTATCTGTGTGGGATTTTTCACTTTGCATCATAATTTAATAATCTAACCTTTGAGTGAGGTTCATTTCTTCAGTACATATTGTGATCTATTTCTGAAC